TCAGAAGAAAACGGTCGAGAAAGATATGAAGTTGGGGGAATAAGCATGAACACCGGTGTCTTCGAAATGATCTCATTGCACAGTACGGACAGTTAAAGAATGCACGAGACACAGTTGAAGGTTGCAGGTACCGTATGCTGGGCCGGCGAATTCAATCCAGACGGAAGAAATTGCAAAAGGAAGCCTTTAACAAGGCATACCACGACTTCTTTGGAAATGTCGGCAACGATATCATTGAGAAAAATTATCACGGCCAGGATACTAGCTTTGTTCCAGATACATCTCTGGTCCTTCCAGAACGGAAGGAATTAGCTGAGCTTGACTTCCAAAACCGGGATGCGAGCACTGTCTCTGATTCGCAGTTACTCGAGGATCGTATTCGATCCCTGGAACTTCGTCTTGCTCTGCATCACCTCCACATACCCAAGCACCTGGCGTCCAATATCGTCCCCACAGAGCTGGCACGGGATAAACCTTTCCCAACCAACTTTCCAACCCAGAGCCCGACAGGTCTGCAGTGCCCTGACTGTTTAGGCAACCTGGATTATCACCCAGCAGCACGGCAATACACCTTCAGCAGCAAGTATGCCTTAAAGAGCCACATTGATGATGTGCATCTGGCAAACAGAGACTTTTTGAAGCAAGTAGAGTGTCACTACCCTGATTGCAAGATGCCTTTGGTTTCCAAGATACAATTCTATAATCACATTGTAACTGTACATGGCATTCTACTCCCTGGTGCATGAGGAAGCTCCATGAGGAAGCTCCATCTTGCTTTGTATGGGCACTTCGCCATCAAAACATCATCATTCTCCTGCTTCTTTCTGTGCTTGAAAATGTATAAAGTCCCTTAATAGAAAGTCCCTTAATAGGAATAGAAGAGGAACTGCGTTTGGTCATAGCACAATGGGTTGGTCAGGTTCTATAAGGGTTATACGCTAGAACCATTTGTTGAAGGAGGTCCCCAGGTCGTCGTCGGTGCGGATGATGGAGTTGCATAATGCAAGACGTTTTTTCGATGAGGAGTTGCCAATGGGTTTTCCTTTGTGTCCGGTGGATCCTGTTGACCGTAAGGTTGACGGGGGGATTATTGAGGAGTAGCTTTATATTCTATTGCCGTTGCTGTTTTTGTTTTTATTTTTGTTTTTTTTTTTTTTTTTTTATCTTAATATCTCATCTTTTTCTTTTTCTTTTTCTTTTTCTTTTATTTTAAATGATCAATGAGATACTGTTCTTTCAATTCCGCCGTGTGATCATCAAAGATTTCCTTCTAAGCTTAATGAGCTAAAGACAGCATCAACAATCAGATTTGCTGTCACACATCTGATTGAACGCCGCAAAGCAGTTGAAGAAGCATCAAAAGTAAACCTTGCCCACTCAACTGACTGTCACACAATGCCTTTGACCTAAAGGTTTCTGAGTCTATGATGACCACGAAAGCTCGGCTTCTCTCTAACCCAGAACTACCTTTTGGAGGTAATCAACGCGTGAACAGATACCGCGGGATGATGGGATCTTTGTGCACAGCTTTGGGACCAAAGCGTCCAAGCATGGATGTCCAGCCTGCGCAAACAAGGCAATAAGATTATACAGTCCAGGTTTGGCTGGTATCATCAAAGATTGTTTCACCTCTAGGCATAAAGAATAGGAGAACCCATAATGTCTTGATCTGTATCTTGATATACCGCACTTTCTGTGTGCTTCCTCGCTTTTACCTTTGTTCAATTGTGTTTTGTGTCTGTTATTTTCCCTTCTTGCCCTTTATTCCCCGCCCTCACCAGCTGCTTATTTCATTCGACATATAGAATGTCATCATCGCAAGTGGATCCTCCCAGTGACGACCAAAGACGAACAGCAGCAATCAGCCCCCCATCTCAACACTCCGCATCTAATATCTATACGTTCGGCCAGGCTACGTCCAACCCACCAATATCTCATCATCAGGCGTATATGCCTCCTCTTCTTCTCAAGTATGTTTTCCCAGCCCAGGCATCGCTTTTTGTTGCTTGTTTTGCTGTCAGAGACAGAGGGTATGCTCTTTCCCTCATTTGATGCTGTTGCACTTGAACTGTTTGCTAACTATGGTCTTGAGCGCGTGAACTGCTGGAGCAAGATAAACTCTTCATCTGATTGTGGCCTGGATAAACAGCTCTAACTTAACTAAAGTTACCCTAAATCTCCAGGCTTGAGAATGAAGATCCTTGAGAATGGTAACAGTATTACAGGTGCTAATCAAAACTTTTGAGAGAACCCTCAATACCATGAGGCAGTAGGTGATGGCGGGAAGGGGGGGCGGGTCTGCACAATCAACAAAGCGAGTATTAGTGAGCGGTTGAGGCTTGTGAATCAGTAGTTAGTGTGAAAACATTACAAGTACTGACCGCGCCGAGGTGTGATAGTGCTTGAATGAGTAGTTATGTAAGCATATAATTCCCATCCGTGTTGAACTTGCCCATGCTCCTCTTTTGATTGCCAAATCAATGCACGATGAAGGTCGACAGATCAGAACTGCTCCTCATGCGAGTCACTGAAGCAGGATACTGCTACGCTTGTGTGGCTAGTGACTGCTTTATGATATTCAAGGACAACAATGAATTGAACAAGCATATTCGAAGCAGCCGCAGCAAGTCCCACGAACCGTTTGCTACGTATTTGGATGCCAGCTGCCTAGAATGCGAAGATGGCTGCGGGCCTGACCATGATTACTTTTGCCATCCAAAAACATACGAAGACAAGATGCGTGAGCTTTTGCCTTACAATATTCCACCCGATCACTCGATACCCCGTTTTCACTTTGCTTTGATGTAGTACGGGCTTTTAGAGATGGCTTGGATAGTACCTCGAGCCCACAAGGGGATTTGATGCTGTATGACCTGGCTGAGTGTTTGCACAAGCGCCTGTTGATCATGGAAAATGAGCTTCGCCGTTGTTCCGGGGAAGATCACTTCAACACAGTGTTTGGCAGTCCCACTCGCAGTCTCAAGGATATCAGGGTGCTTCTCAGAGAGCAACCATCACCGCCGAATCTAGTGAACTGCCCTGCGCCGGGCTGCCAGGAGACCTTCCGTAGCCCGTTACGCCGAATAGAACACCTCAGGGCATCGAGCGATCAAAGCCATCTGTTCTACAAATCTATACTTGATGAAACATACTGCTTTCTGTGCGGGAGGGAATTCAACTCGTCTACATCTTTGGCCCAGCACAACCAGCGTGCGCACAAAGTGATATCCAATTCAAGAATCAATATCTTTCACCAGATTTGCACCACAGAACAACCCCAAGCGTCATAATCTGTCAAACGCAAACAACAATATATCGTGAGATTTGACAATAGCGCGTCCAAAAGGAACTGTCAACATGATAAACATAATGACAAACACGAGAAGCTACAAACCCTTAGCCAGTATGTCTCACCATACCGTCCCTCTAGTTCTGTGCTAACTCTTGGGCTCATTTGTAGACAGCTACAGCCTGCACGGCAGCTGGGCAAAGCACCGAACGTTCCAATTCAGGATCAAACCCCGGAGATACCACCGTCCGCCAACTGCAGCATCACCCAACAAGATATTCTAGGAGATGGGTTTTTCCAGCCATCACAGTTGTTAAACCCTCTGTCAGACAACATAGGGTTCGATGAGAATGAGCTTATGCGGAAGCTGCTGTCTCATGATTGGGATCTTCAACAGCTAGTTCCCTTACCTGACTTGCATCTTATCAATTCACACACAGTGAGCGAAAATCCGAACATTCAGGCCCCCAGTTCATCCGTGGAGATGCCTGCTGAACAACCTGCCGACTCTGCTGTTATGACAAACCGCGATTTTCTCTAGTCAATCCCAGTGCTAATGCTACATATGAGCGAATACACACATATGTGGTCAATTTGGATAAATAGTCATATCATTGTTAATGCAAAACCCAATCTATTATAGTATGCCGCTATGGAGAACAAATGCTACATTAATCAAGGAGGAGGTCAAAATAACTCATGCAAGTGAGGAGTAGTTCACATAAATGAGATCAAGCTCGCTTTGCGGCTTTGGGAGCACACGTCGCGCCAGCCAGGCATTGCAAATAATCCTAGAAGTGATTAGCAGCCGGCCTTATCAAGCTTGAAGGACATACATACAGGTCACCGCCCGATGCTTGAACCAGTTCCTCCTCCCCCATTTGTTCTTCCTTCAGGCCTTTATCATAACCCCACCTCCATGCGCTGTCTGGATTGCCTTGTAGATGGTATGCCATAACAGCAACAATTTTAGTCCTGCTGGCCATATCCCTCCAGTCAGGGGCACGAGCAATTGGAGGATTCGGGATTTGATCATGGTGTACAGGCCCGGAAGGGCCTATCCGAATATCTGCGTTCGCATGGGAAAGGAGGGCAACCACATACTGGATTCCATTAGTCAAAGTATAAAGATAGCAGTTGGAGTATTCACCTTATTATCTTGAGCCTCATGAGGAGACGTTGTCGTGGCTCCGCCCTTGATTATGATCCACCCGCTCGTGTGAAGAGTCTCAACCACCTCATCCCTTGCAGATGGCTGGGAGAGGTCTCGTTTAATTGTACCGGATGCACTTTTGATTGTCGCTTCCATATTCCCGCGCGTGTTCTTTTGAGCATTGTACTGTGGGGAGCCATGGCGGGGCCATATTTCTGCTGAAGGGAAGGTGAGCACGTGGATTTTACGCTTGGCAATCAACCTTGTCTTTACAGTTGTTTATTAGTAACTCAATTTAACATCATCAACAATTGACTCACATATTCAAACATCATTTCCAGAGTGATGGGTAAAGGAAAGAGTGTATTGCCATGGATGAGTAGAAAACAAAAATGAGAAAGAGCTGGTCATCTTCATATACGAATTCGACATATTAGCCTCAGCAACCACTTCAGCCTATCAGTCAGTTAGTCAAGAAGATCAGGCTGTCCGGGCAGCTTATTGGCAGCTTATTTTGAAGAAATGCAGATTGAACATGTAATAAACTGTCTAGTATGCATGAGAAGCCTCATGCAGTGTCTCTATATAAATAACTTAAAAAAGCAATTGGAACAGACTTCATGCTTTAAGTAACCTATCAACCCCTCATTCTTCACACATCAGAGCCAAGTTTGGGTGGTGATGTCATCTGGGCACCTGTTAACAGCTTCCACCTGTTTGATTTTCTACCTGGTTTGGAACTGTGGAACAGTGTAGCGCCCTTATATTAGCTGCATTCTATGTACCCGGCAGTTGCGAACTACTCACAAGTTGGCTGAAACCTAGGAGACCATCCTGAGGAGTATGTATACATTTCTGGGCCAACAGATATGACCTGTGTAACAAGCGGAGGGAGTGAGGTATGCATCAGAGAAGGCTGAATGTCGCCCGGCTCAGTTGCATCCCAGAACAACATTGAGCTCGCCCTCCGCTCCCGAAACGGGTTCCGTATGCGTGGCGACCAGCATAACAGATCGTCCATCAAGGTGCACAACTTGTGCGTCCAGTTCCTCCTGAAGTGCGACCACATGTTGACTGCAAAATGGTTGTCTGCACGGTAGGATGGTAGAAAGAGCAAATAATCAAGGGCAGAAAGGCCGAGGGAATGAATATCAGAGTGCAGATCATCATGCAAATACTTTTTTTCATGAGGTGGAAGTTGTTTCTTATATTTCCAATCTGACTAACTTTTTCCACTGCTTTTATCTCACCTGTTTCCTTAGCCCTACTCATAACCAAAATAGAAATCGCAGGATGCCAAGATCACAATGAGCATTCAAATCTTGGCATTTTTGAATTTCCCGCTGCGGATCGGCTCATGCCGCTCTCAAGAATTATCAAATGGCAGGTTGTGTGCATGCTGATTGGAGTCAACAAGCCTGTTTGCCCCTGGGATCCAAGAACAAGCAGAAACAGTCAGCAGGCAAGCACAAAACAGGAAAGTCTTAAATGCCAAGATATTGATCAGACCACACACGCTCAGGCCTTTCAGGATATAGCGCCAGCCGCCGCATCTAAGCCAAATTTTCCTTGTTGATGCAAATATGGCAGCTCAATCCTTCACAGATGTGTCCGAGCGCGGGACATCATTTGATCAGCTGAATTGTTGGTTGGTGCTTCGGGGATTTACCCAGCGTCCCGCTTGAAAGTTGAAGGAAGACGATCCCAGGATCACATCAAGTTGTGGGGACCTGGGCGTAAGTATATCTATGCACCCATTCTTTCTCCATGGCTTTCCCATTACCAACCTCAGATATTTCCTTGGATTATCCATATCTTTTGAACATTCAAGATTGCCAATATTTCATTCCGACAACGCAAGCTACAATAACGCATAATGGCCAATAGTCAGGCTCTAGGCACTGCTCCTCTGAAACTTGAACGACCGTATCATGAGCTCTCGCACTATGCAATGGTATATTTGGATGAGGCTGGGAAAGTTCAATATGCCTTCTCGCCGTCGATGCTGCCGTTTTGCCGCTGCTTATTTCCCGCGAGTATGAAGGCTCAATTTCAGCAATGGGTCACTCAAAAACAAGGCCTGAATGATGCAAACTCACAGAAAAGTCAACAGTCTGATGATGATTTTGATGATGATGCAAGGGACAAGATAGGCATATCAATCGGAGATAGGGAAAGGATCACAGCTTATTATATGGGGGCCTTTGTCGAATTTCAGCAAACTAACTGCCGTCGGATTGCCAAGGCTTATATAAAGGCAATCGAACCACGAAAGCAGTCCGCACATCCCTACAATGGAGGGAAACTGGGAGAACCTGATGAAACAAAACCATCCTGGTGGCCTGTCGACGTGATACATAAGGAGCCTGATCATTTGAAGAAGCCTGGTATGATGCCCATGAGATCTAACTTCTTCCTGATACTTATTATTTGACAGACCGGATCAAGCTTCTTGTTCACATACTCCGCATCCATGTTCGGGGAATGACTGCTCACAAGCTGAGGGAAGCTGGGAAGAATGTCCAACAACATCAGCTTATCCCATGTGAGAAGTCAGCAGTGTTGGAGGAGATATACCGAGTTAGGGAAATAGAGGAGCGCTATGAGGATGAACATATTGGTAGATTCATTCATATATTTTATGATCGTAGTGTTTGAATTAACATGGTATTTAGATGCAAGTACATTGGTTTATGTTACCGTCGGGAAAGCCGCCAAACGTAACTCGAATTAAAATTCCAAAAGCCCAAGCAAGTCGGGAAACTCAAAACATCCCAAAAGCCACCGACCTTCACCAGAGATTGGGAAATCAACCTCCTCACCGAAAAGGCGGGATCCAATGTTAATGACAAACTCAATATTTGAGCAACAACCCGCTTTCATTCCCCCAGCAATCAAACCTGATGAGCAATTTACGGACTTTTACACCTATCTAACGCCGTCGACGCCCTTCCAACCGCCCATTTTCAACCCCCATGACATAGTCATGCAAACTTCTCAGCCCCAGTTTCCCCCCTGCTGATGCTCATGGAGCTCGCGACACACCCGTGGGTGATGGTATATGGGCAGAGCACAGTGGCTCGGGCGCAGGAAGGTGGCTAGGGGCATCTACTCATTCAACTCACCTATGAATGTAGGAAACGGATGTGCCGACCTGTTGAAATTCCACCCCATCATAAAGAATTTATTCAGAGTAAATGAATACAATCAATCTACCTATCTATCTATGTATTCTTTTCCTTCTTTTTTTATTCCGAAGCCTGCAAAGCTTTGCCAAGTGAATGATATATCCGGCCAGAGCTGTTTGGAAATGTCATAGGCCTATTTGGAACATTGGGATTCCCACTTATGCTACGCTGGCCTCACATCCACCAATGTAGTTTGCGAAACGCAGGGAAGAAGCATGGAAGAAGCAGCCAATAATAATAAATAATGTAATCAGCAAAAGAACCCGCTCGCGCGGTTGCTAGTCACGCAGGGGACAAGAGAACGGGCACTATACTTGCAATTCAAAGACAACAAGAAGATCGATCGTTCAGAAGACGCGGCCTTAAGATCTCCATTTATGCAAATGGCTGCTTATTAGATTCAAGGAGTGAGCCATCTCTATTGGTCAGCATTGACCTAATCCACGTGACCTCCTTTGAGGACGATCCTTTGCCCAGAAATCTGCCAGCAGCTCCAAACCTCCATATTCCTGCATATCATCCAATGTCATCCTTGCATGCACTTCAAAGCCCCCGAAAACCCTCTTTACAGTTCGTCGGAGGTTTGGAATGGCGACAAATTGATCAGAACGGCAAGGCACGTCAGTGGCACTCATTGGCTCATCAATTATGATTGGGTCTTCTGCAAGATTGAGTGAGGTGTGAGAAATGTTTTTCGTGAAAAAAAAAAAAAAGCCGAAGTCAGTGCTGAGCCTTACCAGCAGAACCCGAGTACTTCCACGATTTTCCTTGTGTGTCATATCCCTGTGCTTCTTCTATCCGTCCTACTATCTGGTACATCTCATCCCCGTCTCCCTTACGCACCAGTTTCAGGATAGTCACCTGAGAAAGAGGCAAGAGGATGTATTCCTGCTTATCTAGCGTAACTTGCTCCGTTCGGTGGGCGTGGACGTGTTCCTTGCCCGGGTGTGGGTCAGCCTCGATGACATCGGAGTAATTCAACAACTCCGATGTGTTACCTTCGCGATAGTCGGGGACCAGGGGAGGAGTTGACTCCCGTTGATTTGGTGGGTCATTGGCAACATCATTCGGGCTTGAGTGAGCCTCGATGGGGTCGTCGGAGAAATCCGGTAGTTGGAGTGATGGGGGGGAACCATCAACTGGCGAAGAGTCAAACAGGATCCAATCGTCCCAGTTAACGTCATCGAGACCGGTGGGTAGCAGGGCAGAAAAATCAGCAAACATCTCACTTGCTGCAATCTTGGGCGCAGAAACGAGGGGTATGGGCATTGGAAAAAGGTGTTGGGGCTCTTCGTTTGACCGAGGATCAGAAGTCGCTTCCAGGAGGTGCACTGTGTGCAGCTGAGGCGAGGGGAACTTTCAGCAGGTCCAGAGGTGATATCATACATAAAGGTAGCCATGTTGTGAGATGAGATGAGAATGTTCTTCTCCCCTCGCTCTTGATGGTAGGAGGAACTTGAGGTTTTTATTTGTCCCATGTTCACCCCCCCACGAACAAAAATAGGTCGAGGCTGATCAAGGAGGGTAGGAAAAATAGTAGCTGGAGATGGATCACCAATCATCCACACTGAAGAAGCCGCTGAACCAGTGGGGGTTGCATTGATGATGGACCAACGCAGAAGTGCTCCTGGCCACGCATTCATCCTTGGACTTTCGTCCAGTCAATATCAACCAGTCATCCACACTGAAGAAGCCGCTGAACCAGTGGGGGTTGCATTGATGATGGACCAACGCAGAAGTGCTCCTGGCCACGCATTCATACTTGGACTTTCGTCCAGTCAATATCAACCAGTCAACTCAATCAGCCCTCGCCACGCGCCAGGAAGTCGAAACCGCTCAAACCCGTTCCTACATCAATAGGGCCGGAGACAAGGGGCAAGGGGGTGGCATGCATCAGAAAGGCGGAGCTTCACCCAACCATGTATGACAGTCAAAAGATGTGCCTGGCTTCGCCTCTGTCCCTCGAGCGCATGGATGTCTATTCTAAGCGAAAACACCCAACATGAAGCAATATCTGAGGCGCTGCATCGAGCCTTTGTCACGCGAGTGCGGTTTGGCAATCCCCTATCATTTATGCCGTCTTCTGTTCAAGGGGCGCAGCAAGGTGGGCGCCAGATCAAGCAAACTTGAACTCTCATCTCGCCACCATCGACCAGTTGGAAAGAATTATCCACACTGAATGGTGGAAGGGATTGCTGACAGGCGGTGCGGCCAGTCCAACGAGTATAAAGGATTATAAATGGCTCTTCCCCTCTCGTTTGGATGCAGCCTTCGCCCTTCTCCAAGCCTTTTTCCTGCTTCAATAATCGCCCGTCTTGCCTCAATTATTCTCCTATTTTGCATCTCTGCACATCCTCAGCATGGATAAACATGGAGCTGAGGACCCTCCGCCACTACCCAGTCAACTTTTGTCGTCCGGTGCGCAGCAATCCACTCTCCCAGCTTATCGCGAGGTGTTGGGTGACTTTCTCCAGAAGGTGCCCTTCCAAACCTATGCCTCCAGTAAGTGCTTAATGACACCCCATCTCCATCCTTCTACTTCAATTTCTCATCCAAGACAGCAGCTCCTCTCAACGTCCCTCCCACGCGGCTGTCTGTAGTCAGGACCTCAAATAACCAGTTCCAACATTCTGGCAATATTAAATCCGAAGACAGAGACAATATCCCAGATTCTGGGGCTACGACAGAACCTTTGGCTCATGATGAATTGGAAAATCGTCACTATTGGTGTGAGGCGCGGCAGGTTGAAAAGAGCCTTAAGATTCATCATGTTGGAGATAAAGTATGGCGAAATAATAAATATGTTCACCATGTTGTTTATGTGGTGGAAACGTATCTCCCAGACAACTGCCTCCCTGAAAATGCGAGGCTCCGGCTGCGGAAACAGGAGGAGAAACAAAAGAGGAGGGAGAATGAGATGCAGCGAAAGGAACGTCTGAGCACATTACACCCTCGACCATCATCACGCAAGTGATGGAAGATGGGATCTCAAACCACTCATTTCTTTATTTCATATTATAACACAGAGTCATTTATTCATCCGCCTTCTCTTGCATTAATTTGGTGATACTGAAGCAGTGCCCTAATATGGTTCCCCCCGGGAGTCAGTGAAGTGGTGGCCCATGACCAAAAACTATACTTCCCCTATGGGACTTAGGGAATTGCAAGAATGCCGATGAAGGCGAACCCTCAGGGAGTGTCCCAATCTTGCATAAAAAGGCAGTAATGATGGAACCCCATACGGTGTCAGCATCCCTAGGGAAGTAAGCTCCTTGAGGAGCGCCGGAATTCTGAGTGAAAAGGCAACAAAAACTGAAATCCCATGCAGTGTTAGCATCCCTAGGGAAGTAAGCCCCTTGGGGGAGTGAGCTCCTTGAGGAGTGTCAAAATTTTGAGTGAACAGGCAACAAAGATAGAATCCCATGCAGTGTCAGCATCCCTGAGGAAGTAAACTCCTTGAGGAGTGCCAAAATTCTGAGTGAAAAGGCAACAAAAAATAGAATCCCATGTGGTGTCAACATCTCTGGGGATGTTGAGTATCACGGTTGTTGAAACACGTGTAAGAGATCTGAAACTCTTACATGTAACTATCTGTATATATATTGAGCATTCTGCCTCGGCTAGAATATACAGAACAGAATAGAACAACAACAATGAACATACTACTATCACTTGTATCTTAACAGGTTATGAGCCCGGGCTCGTACACATCATGGACGATACTATACAAAGCTAAGCTTCCCTGCCAAGTGATAGTCTTATCAACTCGAGAATCTGACAAACAACAATCTAGTGATTCCGTGAAAATGTTGAAATACAAAGAGGTTCAAAAGACTTTGAAAGAAGTTTAAAGCGGAATGAATCTCCTTCTGCTAGGAATCTCTGACAGATTTCAGACTGTTCCCCCCTGCAGATCGTTAACTGAAACTCTGATGAAGCAAGGGGGTTGAATCCCATTGCATGTTTATTAAACCAGCCCATCGCCAAAGGCATGTATAAAAACAAGAAGAAAAATATGGCTCCAACAACTCGATCTACACGATCCTCCCAATCCTCGCTCTTGTTATCAAACAGAGTAACCTCTACGCGACAACGCTACCATCGGTGGACGGACGAAGAGCTCAACTTCCTTGCTTACGGCCGTGCCCGCCGCTGGTCATATGCCCGAATCCAAAGGACACACTTCCCGTCATACACAACGAAGTCAATTAACGAGGCTTACTTACGTATACCCATAGAAGAACGTGCACGCCGTGCGTCAATTGTTGCTGATTCGCTGGCCGTATCCCGCAACGCCTCTCAAATTGAAAAACATATACGCTCAAACCCCATACGGGAGACGAGATACTTTTCTCGTCCCTTGCTTCAGCTAGAAGGCAACCTTGAAGCTCCTAGACCATCTCTCGTTAGACAAGAGAGAGACAACAGTTCTCTGAAATCCACCAACGGGGCTGCAGACCGGTATAACCTTCGGCCAAAAGGATCTAGAACTACCAGATAGCTAAACCACGGTGCCTGGTTAACCGACTTTACTTTCCTCACTTCGTCAAGCCGTACAAAAATCACCTAGAATCATACGGGGTGCCAGATAAGGACTACATTGCTCCATCTCACTCGTCTACGCCAGAATCATCAGATCTCAGTCCTTCCGACGTCTCAAGCCTGCCGAGTGCCGCATCAAGCCTAGATCTCTTTGGCTTGGAAGCACGTTCCATCAGTCCATCGGACTGTGCCTCTTCTGTTGCCCCAAGTCGGTCCAGCGACGCGTCAACTTCAGAATTTTTCAGTTGTGACTAGCCATCCACCAGCGCCATGACCGACATTGCTAAGTTTGAGCAGTTTGGCTTAAATACGTTTTACAATGCCATTCCGACATTGGATAATGCTGGTGATTGGTTCCAGTGGAATCAGAAGGTCAATGAGTTCATCCGAATATCCACTGTCGCCGATGATGGAGCAACTCCGCCGGCGGAGGAAGAGGAGGCGCGGCAGTGGACCCATCGCCAAAAGTTCTACTCTGCAATGATCGCGGCCAAGCTGACGCACAATGCAGCACAACGAATCAAAGCCTCTGAGATATCTCAAGTTGAGACCCTCATCAAAGCAGTAAAGAATAACTTCAAACCGGAGGGCACTGGAACATACGTCAATCTCCAGCGACAGTATATGTCCCTTACAAGAGAGAAATGCGGAAGTGCGCAAGCCCTAGGAGCCGAGATCAGAAAGATCCACGCTGAAAAGCTTCTACTCGATCCAGACTGCGTAACCTCGGAAATCGAGCGAACATTCTTCTTCATGCATGCACTTGGGTCCAGAGTATGAAAGCTTCCGCGACCATATATTTAGACAGATGGACCTTGTTAATGAAAGGGACCCGAATGGAACCGTTACAAAAGCAGCACCCTCATTCGACTACATTGAAAACAAGGCAATTGAGGAAGAGCACAGAAAGGGCCAACTAGGCAGACAACCCACTGAGGCGCGGGCGCTTCCTGCTCTCGCCCTAGTACGAGGGCCAGGCGAGAAGAAAGTTATACCGTCATCAGACGGAAACACATGTCGAATTGAGATTGATAATGTTCCGTATTGCTCATTCTGCCGAAAACCTTACCATAGAGACTCGGGATGTTTCAGCAAGAACCCCAGACTAAAGGATCAGAAGAGAGATGGAAAGAAGCCAAGGCCGAAGCCAGGCAGTTCCTCTCCAGCACTGAAGTCGCTGAAGAGGCAGCCCACCACTGACGACGAAGACGACGATGTGGGTGGCCCGAAGGACTCAAAGAAACCCACCTTCATGGCAATGAGGGTCACAGAAGAAGACGTCAATGCAGCATTCGGAAAGGACATTGAAGGGAACCTTGCCGTTACTGGCCACACCCTCGCAATGATGGCTACAAAGACTCTCTCGATCCACGACGCTTGGATTGTCGACAGTGGATGTGCTCAGCACGTTTGCAATAATAGATCGAAGTTTGTCCAGCTGAACAATTATTGTGGGCCGCCGCTCAGGAGTGTCGATGCCTCGACGGCCCCACTGGGAGTGGGAACGGTGAACATCCTCTGCAGCGTACGAGACAGGAGGAAATGGCTTGTCCTTGACAATGTCCTATTTGTCCCATCAGCACACGCAAACCTTATATCCGTGATGCAGCTGCTCAAACGAGGAGCCAAGGTTGAGTTTTCAAGTCAAGGTGCACGTATTCGCAGCAAATCAAATGGAAGGAATCTTTACACCGCAAGCCAGTATCAGGGGGTCTATGCCCTCGATCTATGGACCAGTCTCACTTTTCCAGCTTACCATGTCAGTCCTCAAATGAAGCTCTGGCACAATCGGCTGGCTCACATGAGCGATACAAATTTACGACATCTTAAAAGGCAAGCCTACGGCGTAAGAGACGTAGAGCCGAGGCAGCCATGCAACCCATGCCTCCAGGGCCGAATGATCGAGAAACCCCACGGTCGCTCAGGACCGCATCGAAGAGGTGAATACCCAATGGAACTTCTTCATATCGACGTTGCAGGACCATTTGATGAGGGACTCGACGGCAGTTGCTATTGGCTCACCATCGTCGACGATTCAACCGGCTGGATAGAGATCGTCCCCATACCACGACGGCAAGGATTTGTCATTGAATCACTCCGCTTCTTCATCGACCACAACGAACGTCCTGAACGAAAATGCAGACGAATACGCCTCGACCGGATCCCTGAACAAGTGGGAGAAGAAATGAAGTTCACACTTTTCTCTCGGGCAATTAGGGCCGAGGTCACAGGCGTGGATCAACATCAGCAGAACGGCGTTGCTGAAAGAGCCCATAAGACAATATATGATCGAGTTGGACCCACACTGGCCCATGCAAAACTTCCGTTCAAGTTCTGGCCGGAGATAGCACGCACTGCAGCATTTCTCTCCAACCGGTCGCCGTCATCAAGGCTTAACATGACACCGTACCAAGCGTGGTACGGCGAGAAACCTGACCTGTCACGACTGAGAGTGATTGGATCCAGAGGGGAATACCTGATCCCACCCAAGCAAAGGAAGAAGCTCACGGAGCCAAGAACAAGGCCATGCATCCTGCTAGGCTACGAAGGAAACACCAACTACCGTATCTTGCTGGAGGACGGAAGAATCGTTGGCACTCCAAATGCTGAATTCCATGAAATCCTTACAAATCCCTCCACGCAGACTATAGAAGACGTGGGAGCCAGACTGAACGGCTTACCTGAGGCAACGGCTGCTGCCGCAGGGGGGAACAAGACGACAGGACTACTGGACCAACCGTCTGTAAGCATACGGCAAGCATCCGTACCAGCATCTGGACGCCAAGTGTCGATGGCAGCACCAGAGCGGATACTACGCCGGTCGAGTAACGAGAACTCGCAAGAACAAGTGTTGTCTCAATCGAGTGACGATGACTCGCAGCCTAATGTTGCTGAACAGGGAGATAGGACCTTGTCCCCGATATGGAGTGATGACAGTTTTGGATCATTTTCGGACTTTATACAGGATGATTTCCAGACGAGTGAGTCACTGACCGACGGCGACCAGCAACAGGACGACACTCAACAACGAGCGCTACCCCAGTCGAGTGACGATGACTCGCAGCCTACTGTTGCTGCACAGGGAGATAGGACCTTGTCCCCGATACGGAGTGATGACGCCTCTGGATCCCTCTCGGATACTATCCAAGACGATCTCCAGAGAAATGACTCACTGTCCGACGGCGACCAGCAACAAGGCAACGCTCAGCAGTATCAAGTTCAAGGAGGATGGCAACGATATCCAGAACTCCAACTTGACCGATCAGTCCATGTCGTGCAACAAGAAGCACTAGAACGACATCCTGAACTGAAAACCCGTGCCTTACAGACGACACAGGATACGTCTAATGATGGCGAGGAAGATCTTGCACTAATGAACATACCTGAAGGGAATACAATCCCAACATTCTTAACCATCGCTGCAGAAGAAACGGAACCCTTTGAGCCCAAGACTCTTCAGCAAGCGAAGAACGACGCAAGCTGGCTTGAATGGGAAAAGGCAATGCTTGAAGAGGTCAACTCGCTCAAACAAAACAAGACGTGGGAGCTTGTTGACCCTCCCAAGGACCGACGGACTCTGAGCGGAAAATGGGTCTTCAAGCTTAAACGTGGACCTCATGGGGAAGTCATCCGTCACAAGGCTAGATGGGTAGTGAGAGGGTTCACGCAAAAAGAGGGTGTCGACTATGACGAAACCTTCGCTTCAGTCGTCAAGCCAATGAGCTACAAAACGCTCTTCGCAATTGGAGCGGCTCTGGGCCTTGAGATTGAACAAATGGATGTCAAAACGGCATTCCTCTACGGCGAAATTGACCATGAGATCTACCTCGAACAGCCCCATCTCGTGGCAGATGGCACGCCAAGGGTCTGCAGGCTCCGGAAGGCGCTCTATGGTCTTAAGCAGGCTCCTCGTATCTGGTACCAAACTCTTACAAACTTCCTGCGCGGTCTCGGCTTCGAGCCAATCAACGCTGATCTTGGAATATTCGTGCGGAGCAACATGTATATCGCGGTGTACGTCGATGATCTCTTGATTGTGGGGCCAAGTATTGCCGAGATAAAAAGGATCAAGAGAGCCCTCAGAAACCGTTTCCACATGACGGACCTCGGACCGCGCACCTATTATCTTGGAATGTCCATCCAGCGAGACCGCCAGAACAGGATACTGTACCTGAGCCAAGAAGCCTACATCGACAAGGTGATTCATCAGTTTGGAATCAACGATTGTGCTCCCGTCAGCACGCCCATAGAAACCTCACCACTACCGGACAACAGCCCAGGATACAGCTGCCCCCGGGATCGAAAAGTTGAATATCAACGCATCGTAGGATCTCTCATGTACATTATGCTCGGAACCAGAGGAGAATCGCATATGCGGTCTCTATAGCGAGCAGATACCTGGTAAATCCTGGACCGCAACACATAAAACTTGCTCGGCGCATCCTACGGTACCTCAATGGCACGAAAGGACTCAGACTCACCTATAAGGGCCACCCTCAAATGCTGAAGGGCTTTACGGATGCTGACTGGGCTGGCTGCCGCGACACACGACGATCAACGGCTGGATACCTCTTCAACATCGGGAGCGGGGCAATCAGTTGGCAATCCAAACGTCAGAACATTGTCGCTCTATCAACCTGCGAGGCCGAATTCCTAGGACAGACACAGGCAACCAAGGAAGCGATCTGGCTGAGAAGGCTACTCAACGAGTTGAATATGAGCCAAGGAAAAGCCGCAACGATCATCTGTGGCGACAATCAGGGAGCCATCGCTCTGTCATCGAACCCACAATACCACTCACGTACAAAGCATATGGAAATACAACGTAAATGGCAAGGGGAAGTCCAAGATGCAGGAACGGTTGAATTGAAGTATATCCCAACTGCGGAACAAATTGCTGATGGGTTCACCAAGCCTCTTGCGCGAGACAGGTTCGAATGGTTCCGGAGAGGGCTTGGCATCGAATGATTCTCGCAGCCTGTGGGCCTTGAGCAGAAACGAGACACATGGGCACCCTTTCCTTCGTTCTTAAGGTTTTCCTTCTTGAAAGTTTTTTCCTTTTGAAAAAGGTTTTAACGGGGCCTGTTACGATCACCGTGATGAATGATCACTGGCAACCTTGATGGTTGCCATCGAGTGGGAGTGTTGAGTATCACGGTTGTTGAAACACGTGTAAGAGATCTGAAACTCTTACATGTAACTATCTGTATATATATTGAGCATTCTGCCTCGGCTAGAATATACAGAATAGAATAGAACAACAACAATGAACATACTACTATCACTTGTATCTTAATAGGGGAAGTAAGACCCTCGGGGAATGCCACAGTTTTGAACTATTAGCCACCATAGTAAAATCCCTTGAGGAGGGCCAAAATCTCAGTGGACAAGGCCACAAAATTAAAAGTTCATAGGGAGCCAACACTCATCAGGGATGACACGATGCTGAGTGGAAAGGCCACAGAAACAATGCCCATGGGGAATGTCATATTTTTTAAGTGAAAGGCCGCTGATAATGACAATCCTTGAGGTGACAAGTCACTTTGCCGCAGCGCATGCTTGGGCCACAATCTGCAATCTGAAACCCGGCCCACATAATCTTGATTCGCAATTGAATTCAGCCACGCAATCTGAATTCATTGTCTTTGTAATTACAGAATATATACAAAAATTATATTTTCAGAGTAGATCTGCAAAGACTACAGTCTCAGTTTGTAAAGAAAATATAGAAATTATATGAAAAAGATTACTGGTTGAAATATTCACAGTTGAAAATAAAGAGATTGTATAACTTAGATATAATATTAATATAATAAGAGAAGATTTTAGATGTAGTAGAATAGATTTTTATGTACACAAGACTGCTCTAATACAGAGAATAGTTCCTGTCGTCTAGACAGACTCAACTTGAAGAAGCTAGAAATACAGAAGAAAAGTTTCATTGTTTCACTTTTCATCCCTTTCTTTCATAGGTCTCTGTTCAACCCTGATTCATGAAGTTCAGTTAACCTAACTTTAAAGTCAGCTAACTCATTGTCAAGATTTTGATTGAGTCTCTCACCTACCTATTTTAAGATATCAAACAATGTTTACTTCTTGTTGAAAGAAGTATCAAAACAGAGAAGGCTTTTTTCTTTTATCAGCCGAGTTAAAAGATGACTTCTTCAGATCTGACTGAGAGCTTCTAAATAGCGAAGCTGGCTTGACGATCTCAGAATGTGGTTTCTTTGTTGCTGGTGTGTAACAGGCAAAGGGTGATCTCTCCAGATCCGACTGGGAGATTCCAAACAGTGAAGCTTTCTCAGTGGTCATCTTGACACTCTCAGAATGTGGTTTCTTTGTTGCTGGTGTGGAACAGGCAAAGGGTGATCTCTCCAGATCCGACTGGGAGATTCCAAACAGTGAAGCTTTCTCAGCAGCTGGCTTGCTCTTAGAGGGGTTCATTGTCGCTGGTGTGGAAAATGCAAAGGGTGACTTCTTTATATCTGACTGCTTAGCATCTGGTGCTACAAGTATGGGAGAAGTTGAAGCAGAATCAATAATATCAGCGTTCTCCACAAGAGAACTTCCATCGGTGCGAGTTTGATAGATATCCATGGCTGTAGCAAATTTAAATCAATTGATGAAATAGAGTGATTGAAAGAAGCATGAGTTGCTCCATAAACTTCAGAATTATGAGAGGATTCATATATATATGTCAAACAAGCTTATAGTTTGTGGCTTTTGTGATTTGTGGCCCTCAATTGAGGGCCACAAATTTTGTTCATGGGGTGGTGGCCCAATGATTCAGTGGGCATTCGCTCATTATTTATTCATCCAACTGGTGATCAGTCATATTGTGAGAATATGGACCATCCAAATTTACTGAGATTGCACTGCTGAAAATGAATGAAAATAACGCTGATATCAAAGCTCGCCGTCGTGGCACGCTGTTTCCGCGCAGCGACCTAGCCTCCCAGTCTTCCGCGCCAAAACGCCTGTTATTGGGCACGGAGCCTTTGGAATTTTTGCAAAGGCCACAGAAGCTTCGTCGCATGATTCCGGTAAGCTCACAGCCTTACAGCTGAGGACAACCCATGGAACCGATTCCAACGGTCTTTCAAATTATCTCAAGCAGGACAGGGTATTCTTGTTTACAAAAGGAGCGCCCCATTTGATGAGAGGATTTTCAAGGAGATAAAGGCCAAGGATAAGAGTTGGCTGTCAAAGCTGCAACATGTATCCCACAAGAATGTTGTGACGCTACACGAGGCAATGTATCATGATGATATTATCAACATCTTTTACGAGGTTATGGATGTCTCTCTGGCGCAGATATTTCGAACACCAATCGGGCCTCTCAGCCAATTTGAAGTCGCGGCGTTTTGCAAGGAGATCCTAGAAGGGCTGGATTATATTCATAGTCACTTAGAGCTGGTTCATGGGGACCTCAGCTCTGAATCTGTACTGCTATCTACAAAGCCCCCAGCAGTTAAAATTGGTATGCTTCCTCCATTTATTGGAAATGGCAGAGCTGACGAAGCTGTAGCCAATATTGCTGCAAGCATGCTTAGAGAGACAAATCCCGGGACAGCACAGTCTGACCTCCAATCAATGGGCCAGATAATTGTTGAATGCTTGGAGCCGGAGACGGCTTCGCGACATGGAAACACTCTCACCCATGACAACTGGGGAACCGATCTTCGCGAATTTCAATCTTTGACTAAAAAGAAAACAGCCAAGGAGCTGCTTAGGGTAATAAGAGACTTCATTTGATTTCTTATGAATGTAGCTAACTGCCAGCGTAGCATGAATTTCTCCAGCGTTCCTCGGGTCCATCCTGTCTCAGACGGTATATCCGTGCTGCACGTGAGTCAGCTCCAAAGGACATTGAGATTCCACCTGAATGGGTCAAATATTAGTGAATTAAATGGAGGGCAGCGCATTTGATGATGCATATATAGCAATAAAACAATTGTTACATGAAAATTTTCAATAATCAACAACCAAAATAGACAATTTAAGATGGAGGTGCACTTTGGGTTCGGCGTGATCGGGTTCAATGTGATCGTGATGTTCTTTCTCTTCTCAAGTGCAGCAGTGATTTCTCCAGTGCCACAATGTGCTTGTCCTTCTCCTCCAAAACTATTTTATACTTCTCCTCCATCTGAGATTCAAGAACCAGAGCAACATCTGTAAGCCGACGGGTATGTGATTTGAATTGACTTTCTTCAATGACCATGGTGTGTACCAGTTCATCAGTTAGGTCGATTTTTCTCTGTGCATGATGCAGTTCAGTGGCAGTTTTCCGACGAAGATCCTTTCTCCCAGGCAAATGCTCTTTCAGCGACCACTTGAGCAGCATGGGTCCGTACAAGCTCACAGTGCAATTGCATGTTGGCCTGGGTCGTCTTTGCGCGGGATGCTTTCTCCGTTTGAAGCTGATCCCGTGTGAGCGAATGGACGGTGCACTCCCGGCTCAATAATTGTCTGTATCTTGTGTCGGTATCCTCAAATCCGGTGACCAATGTTTGGAGCCGATCTCGCTCCAGTTGAAGCTGATTGATGGGTATGTTGGTCTCGACGGGCTGCTCCCATCACCTGGTAAAGATTGTTTTGTAGCTGAAGCACTTGTTCATGGACGCAGCACAGTCCATCTTCACTTGACCAAGATGCTTGTGTGGACAGAGTCATTGATTGCTCGTTTTCCATTCTTTAGAATGTTTCTTGAAGTGAAATAAAAAAGTCTCCTCCATTTGGAGGAAACAAAAACAACAAGAGTAGCTTGATCAGTTCCTGGTTATATAGTTTTACATAAGCGCTGTGCTGTGATTTGAGGTAACTTATAATTAGAAGAAAATCATTTCCTCATTCAGTAAGACCTGCTTACAGTTTCTTATTGGCTCAACTGACAACACGCCAGCCTCTCAATCAAAATAGAAAGTCCTCTTTATCACCAATAGTGCTGGGCTTTGACCCTGTAAAATAAGTCACCGGGACATCACCCTGGCGGCAATCGCGATAGATCGTGAGCTGTGCCGCATTTGCTAAGATAAAAATGGCATAGGTTCATTATTCAGTGGGGCTGCTAAGAATTCTCTAAATGATCGACGGGTCCAGATCTGATCCCTCCAGGGCATAAGCGCGTAGAAATGAAACTTCAGCAACCACTCAACATTCAAGAACTACAAGTAGATGCCCACTTTCAAGACACGATGGCTTGCTGTGAGATTGATATCTTGTGAAATAGTGGGCTAGCGCGGATGGAAGACATAGGGGCTTCATTGAGAAATACGGAAAATGCGGCGCGTTTAGAGGAGATCAAACATAAATAGATGGAAGAGCGCTGTTCTGTCAGACAGAGCACATTTACAACCACAGTGATGGCTCAAACAAGATTATGGTCACTTGAAGAGGAGGCCATTCTGCTTTATTTTGTGTCACGAAAGATATGCCATGAGGCTGTGGCAGAATTGCTCCGGCGAAGAGGATATAGTCGAACCCCACCTGCAATCAATGCCAAGCTGACCGTAATACGAGCATTACATCCATACCTAAGTCCAAGCATACGTGACTGGGATCCTGGAGAGGTCAACCGATACATTGATCTGAGATTAGGCCATGATTATGTAAATGAATTGGTCAAATTCACTGTGGAGGACTCTGAAATCGTTGTTAGAGTAAGTAGTACTGATATCTGCTAGTAAATGTCAGTTAACACAATTATCAGCATCACGGTGATCAAAGACTCCTCCAAGTTCAACACCGCTTATTGACCGGACGCATCGGGTGACCTGTTCGGCATTACATGGGGTATTTGATGAGGAAGATGCCAGGTTACGCATGGACAGAGGAAGAGACTGCGGTTGCAGTATATTTTGCATCACAGGGTGTTTACCAGAGAGCAATCTCTGACTTGCTCAAACAAAGAGGATTCTCTTGAGGACTTCTCGGTATCAGCGACAAGCTGATCAGCATACGTAGAAGTTCCCCGGAGCTTGGTTCATCCCGTCGGTGGAATGAAGATGCAGTTGATCAATTTCTGGACAATCTCTCCATCAGCAATTCAAGTATACCTAACTTGCTGAATCCTTCGGAAGCTGATCAGATTATTGTAAACAAGGTGTGTAAGAATTTCTAAAGAGGCCTATTATAAATAGCTAGCTAACATTGTAAAGTACCAAACCGGTCTCGATTTGGCTAAAATATATGCACTCCGGAGGGTATTAAAAGAGGACCATGTCAAGGTCAACTGCTTGAAGTGATGGACAAGAAAAGATTATTGTGTTTTGAGAATGTCTTAAGTTGTTAACTGTAGTTAATCACGCAGCAGTTCAATTGAATTTTCTTCTCACAATTTCATCTACAGCTATATTCCCACAAAATACAATATAGATAAGATAAAAGCAACTCTTCGCATTTTCCATTCTTCAAGTTAAGTTGCAGAAAGTGGTGGTTCTTCAAGTTTCTGAAGAGCTACAGTCACTTCTGCAGTCCACGGGCCCAGCCGTTCCATGTAGTGAACCAATCCTTCAACAAGGCTTTTGATTGAAGTAAGCAACATATCCCTCTGAATAGAGAATCTGCCTTTCTTACCTCTTCATTGAGCGAAGTCTGTATCAGAGTTAGACATTGAGACACTGTCATAAAATCTGTTCTAATTTAACTCACTCTGCATGTAATTGCACAAGTTTATCCATTGTCTTCATTGAATCTTCAAATGCACTGTTTGAAAGTGAGTGTGAGAATTTCAGATCTTATTTTTGAATCTTGCCTACCTCTTCACTGATCATAGCCTGGAGCAAGATTAATTATGGGAAATAATGATCAATCTTGGAGTTTACTTACTCCTTTTGTGTTTCCGCCAGCTGTACCTCCAGAGTTTGAGTAGTGTCCATAGGACAAGGAGTTGTGTTAAAATTCAGAGATTGTGGCAACTCAACTTCAAAGAGATCTGTATTGCTACACAAATTTTGTCCGAAATCACTGGGAGCATTATCCTCGAAATCACGAAGTAGTTGTTCAAATTCCTCTTCAGTGAAAGTCGCCATTACAAGGTAAAGAATATTTGAAATTTGGAGTACAGTGAAGACAGGATTGAGAAGTGCAGTGAAGAGAGGAAGCTAATGAATTGATATGAAGAGAGAAGAGTTGCTCTGGGGCGTGAGTATTTATAATGGATGAGGGGTTAGTTAATCTGAGGCATCGGCCAACTTATTGCTCCAAATTAGTTTTATGATCTATTTATTCCACCATTTGAAATTTGATAGCAAATTGAGCCAATCCCAATTGTACAATGTATATGTATATGTAGATACGCGCCAGGAGTCATTAAGAATAACCCAATCCCTGCAGTACAAATCAACAACTGTTGAGCGCATACATCCCGAGTATATCTGCGCGGCGCATCCATTGAGAATGGGCCAATGAATAGTGAGAAGAGTACTGGTACATATGACGCGGCAAAAGCATGTGATCTCCGCGGGTGATCGATGCTGGCTGCTTGGTTCTAGCTAGGCTGAAAGCGGAAAGGTTCCATTGTTGAAGGTTTTTGGGGTTTGCCGAAGGTTTATCGATCTCCCTGGCGTGGATTCGAAAATAAGGGATTCCAAAATAAGCATCACCTTCAAAAAGCTATTAATAAACTAACATAGAAGTATAAAGCCAGGAGCCTGTCCTTCAGAAGTGCTGGAACATAACTACTTAGCAGAAGACTTACAAAGTCTTATCATGGCCTTCTATGAGCCTCGTTCTCCCGACACGCCCCGTGGAACGTCCTTGGGCTCAATTGACTTCAACCGTTTGCGCTCTGCTGCCCCTTCTTTCTACATTCGTATGAACCGCGGGCCAGCATATCCGGTTACTATCAACCACGGAGTAGAAGCCACCTATCATACAGCTTCTCCCTCCACTTTTAGTGAGGAACATAGATTCTCCTCGAGGAATTCTTTTGATAATGATGTGTATCATGGTCTCCCATCCATCCGGAATTCAATTAATTCTCATGAGCCAGGGTCCTCTCCAGAGAACCCAATATATCTTGAAGGAACACAGGAAGCAGGTAAGAAAAACCTCAGATGCTCTTTGACTTTGCACTAATTACTTGAAAGAAAATGACCCGCGGCAAAAAAAAACTAATGAAAAAGTGACTTCACTGGACTCTGGTATGACCTCTATACATCTTCAACAAGAGGGTTGAATGTTAATATTTTACTAGACAACCTGAACTCAGACAATGCTGCGGTGTTTTGTTCTATATGCTTTGTTGCAGCTGAAGTGGTTTTGTTCTGTGGTCATGCTTTTTGTATCTCTTGCATGAATGAGCATGTCAACACCACATCAAGGCTTTCAGAAATGGGGACCATTACAATTTTATGTCCGATGTGCAGAAAACAGGTTATTGGGTATAAAAAGGAGTATGGGAAGAGAAAAGATGGGTTTTTTGATGTAAATCACAAATATATGCTTGCAGGCATTATTTTCTTCAGACAGTAATGATTGCCAATCAATCTATCTACCTATACAAGGAAAAGCCGTGGTTTTCTGTATAATGTATGACTGATTAACAAGCCACAATACCACCTGAATAAGTGGACAGTACACCCCGGCTGAACATTTATGCAACTTTTTCAAGTTCGCGGCCCGGCGCTGGAAGCACCCAGTAATATCGGCAATGGACCTATCATACCAGGACTGTTGCACCAGAGCAAGATAGTCATCACAGTAATATTCTACCCGAAACAAGGGGCAGCAGCAGTTGCAATTGGAGGCTGCAATTTCGGAGAAGCCAACATTAAAGGGAAATCCATCAGCAGAGTTGTTCATCAATATTTTATAGCTGCATCTATCACTCTTCAGCTTCTGCCGGGCTGTCTCAAGAAGGTTTAGAAGTTTTTGTTTCGTGGTTCGTATCTCTTTCTCAATCCTTTCTATAGAGTATTAGATTTGTATAAGAGCTCGCAAAGAACCCACACTTACCTGGAAGTGAGCCAGGTATAAATGCATTTACCAGCCTTAGAACTTCGGTACCAGGACGAAGGTACTGCACGCAGAGAGCAGCTATTCTGTGAAATTCCTGAAAGTGGGTTTGCCATCCCTCAGTCAAAGCTAACTGCAGTGCCTCCACGTCGCGTCTAAAGTCACTGCTCAGGGATTTGTAGATGAAAGCCATAAACGGCACAATGGTAGGCATCAACTGGTATTTCCTGGAAAGATGATTAAGCGTATGTTTGCTAACCGCGTCCAGGCCAACCTGGGTTGGTATTCTCTCCTGGTTCGGCTGCTTCCACCATTGGTAGTGAAGGGAGTAAAGAATCAACAGCATCTCTTGAATGTTCTCTTCCACCAGATGAATCTCATGCTTCTTTGTAGTTAAATCCGCAAAAATAGCAGAGGACTGAGATAATATCGTAGATGAGGCCCAACAAGGAATGATTTCATCAGGCGAGTAAATCACTAAAAGTACATCTCGCTGGTCAGGAGATGTTGTAGATTGATCACACAGATACTCCCGGGCGGCCCTAAGGATACAGAAATCATTCAGCATGTTTGCCTAGACGTATGTCAGCGAAATACATTGTATGACGACTTGGAGAGATGGCCTACCATGATAATACCTTCAATAATCTGTAACTTCAATGGGCATGTTGAGGTGAAATCAAGATTCAAAAAATTTAGAAAGGCAATTCTCAGTTTTCACATAGTCATATCATAGCCTCGTCTTTGGATTCGAGGGGACCTTGATTTTGCATGGATCTATGCAGAATTAACAATGGATCCTTTCCCCTTTCATACTAGTGGCATTATTTCATGAGATGAGAATGATGGGGAAAAGTCATTTGAAAAAATTGTCCTAGAACCTATCTAGAAATATGAATACAACCCCACCAGATCACCACCCAATCAATTTAGTTTTCCATTCAATTTACAAGTCAAGCAACATTTGTTCCCATCACCCCTGAACAGATTGAAAGCCACCAATGTTCATGAGAGAAAGCAATACCTTCTAATTCACTAGGCCATGAACAGGCAATCTTTCCTTTTGAAACTACAATAATGCCCTCTGAGGCGCCCAGTAGCCAGCTGAATCCTCAGAAGGCTGAAACGCAAGTTCTTGAAAATGGAGTCTTTTTTCAGATATGGTGATATCGCGAATCTCGTCGCGGACTGCAGCACTGGCTGAGACTACATGCTGTTAGTCCATTGCACGAAGATTCCAAAGAAGGGTGCATACCGGTCACAAGCATCTTGGTTGGCCACTCTTGCAGCTCTCTTACCAGAACGGTCTGTGGGTTTGCCTTCCCCACATGCTTCTGAATCCTTCTGGATGATTTCTCTCCCCACTGAAGGCAATCAGCATTATTTTTGACATACAGAGAGATATTTAGAATCTGTGAGAGGGTTAGCATCTCTGTGTGATGGATCTGAGAGAGGCCTACCAAAGTCTCATCATCTTCCACAAGCAGCTGGTCCATCCAATCACAAATCCACTCATGGCAATCTAGGACTTTCATCAGTTATAACACCAATAATGGAACATTTTTAATCCTTACACTGCTCTTCTACTTCCCAAACCACTGAGATTCGATGTTTGCGGACGCCACCGCCCCGCTCAGTCATTGCCTTCTGCTCTGATATGAAGCGTCGAAGCAGTTCGCGGACGTATAGAAGCTGGCCTGTGATTCCAATTCCAGTAGCGAACAATACCACCGCATCATACGAATACATATCCTCCCACAAATCCATCCCGAGACTCTCATATGGCCCATCCACAATGACTCTAAGGCGTCGATGGGAGCCCCCGGCCAGTGCTCGTGTGAATCCACTTTCCACCTTAGCAATTACGGAGACAGAAGTGCCATTTGGCCCATCCTCACTCCAGATAATGTTGAACGGATGGGATTGCGTAAAGGACCAGAAGCTCACAGCCGGAACACGCAGATATACATGCTGCCCTGGGCGGACCTTCCAAGCTCGTGGGGGACGAAAGGTGAGCTCCACGGCTCCATCTTTCCTAATTACATCTGCGATAGCGAGTGGCGAGGGCATATTGCGAAGGACAATGCGAACTATATGTAAAGCTGTCGTACCGGAGAATAATCCCGCCGCAAGGATCATGCAAATGGCATGAAGCTCGCGAAAATTGATAGGCTGCCCTAAATGGAGCCACACCATGATCAAAGTAGCAATACTGAGAAGGATATGGCTAGGGATGTAAAGATCATACGCCAACGAGCGAATCCATGGTTGCACAATCACAAAAAGTACCGCGAGTGCCACAGCAGCCTAGAATGTAAAATATGAGTAATGGATATGAATTATAGACAATAGTTACTTACCACAAAACCGTAACGAAACGCGCGGTCACCAAGATCAAACACTCTATCCCAACCAGAGATTATCACGTGCAGAGTTGACTGTACAACAGCCATAATACCGAAGGCTTTATGAAGAAGGCGGTATGCTTTGAGAGACACTCCAAGGAGCTCAGCAGCTAGGCTGAATTGTTGACCAAAGAACAGCGGAGTTACATGCAGTAGAGCAAGGGATCCAGCCCTTGAACCAGCTTCACGAAGGGTATTGACGCCCACAACATTACAAGCGAAAGTGCTAGCTAGGTGTAGGGCATGTAGAACTGCCCTGGATCGGGTGACAGGGCTGCAAAACCAACGACGGCGAAAAAGATACGGTGGCGGAGTTAGCTTAATAGTGATCCTTTGGTCGAGTAGACATGATATACCACTAAGGATATGTTGATGGAGTAGCAAGGCCGCAGCCATCCCGGCCGCTATGTAGGCGTAAATTTTTAAAATATCCATGTGAAGGGTGATTTTTTTAATTTTTGAGCAACAGAAGAGCAAGTGAGGAGCATATTAAAGCTGGTAGATATAAACACAGACAGACCCGGGATGGATGCGCTCACCTGAAAATAGACCCGGGATGGATGCGCTCGCCTGAAAATACACCCGGGATGGATGCGCTCGCCTGATACACCCGGGATGGATGTGCTTGACAGAATGAATATTCAATATAAATTTGGCGCTGGGGCATTTAAAAGATAGCAAAAAGAAGGCAATTCTCTTATAGTCACTAAACTTTACACATTGTTCCTCTTTTTCCAATTCAAGATGGATCATAATCAAGACTCAAAGCGAAGATACGAACGTTGGCGCATTGAACATGCTGTGAAAAAGAAGACAAAGCGTGACCGTGAGAGATTTCGCCGTGGAAAAATTTCACTTTTCAAAGGAGCAGACAAATTGTACCGAGATGGGCGTGATACTGGAAGACAGCGATACCTTTATATATGCATCCTAGAAAAGAAGAGTGACGATGACCCAGGAAAATTTTTTGAATATGTTTCTCATTCCGAAGACACATGGCCTCCAAGAAAGAAAGAAGTAGTGAGTAAAATCCACCTCACAATACAGATACATGTAATTAATCAAGAAGAAAGGATGAGCACTTTCCCCTCACTGAACACTGGCTGCCAGAGGATTTTGATCCTGAAGCGAAGGTGAGGGTAGACCGAACAAAGAAGTCGAATCGCCACTCTTTCGCTATATCAAATCCTCCACAGTTGAAAATCAAACCCACCGAGATAGAACTTGATGAGGGAAGTTCATCTGAAATAAGTTTGAGAGATGAAAATCCTTGATGTGATAAACATTGAGACCTTAGATAGGCTGAGCCAATTTATACAAATAATGTCAACAAATAAAGGAAGCTCAAAGTTGTACCAACTCTCCATACGATATTAGCACCCATTGCCTTGTTCCCATTTTGAGGTCCGGAAACATTGTAGCTTCTTGAATCCTCGTCGAGATATAATCAGGAAATAAAAGTTTTTGTTGAAAGCCTTGACGCGATGTGCTTCCTATAAAAATTAATTTCGCTCTCCGAAGGTCTGATGGAACGACTGTCGGAGGAACAATGGTAAGGTGGCCCTCATGGAGAGGGGGCGCGCACCAGATATCACTCTTTAGCCAAGGGGGGTTCAGGAGAGAGTCAACATCAAGAACACATGTGATTTCGGACGTCTCCGTGTCGAAAATGACCCCATACTTGTGTCCAACTTCTGATGCTATATCCCTGTAGTAAGCCGCGAATGCCCCCGGCGATAAATTTATCTTCATCCTGCACCATCCGAGATCTTGTTCTGTAATAGCAACATCTGTATGCAATCCAGCTGGGGTGACTCCTGCCAGAATCCTGATATGGCCGGTTGATGACACAGTCGCTGCTGGCCCATCGCGCATATCGGTATTAGTTGATTCAGTATAACTTTGCTCCACATTCATACCAGTATTGTGCATATCAGTATCAACTATGGTACGATGTTGTTCCACATTAGGGCAGGCATCTCGCGGTTCAAATTGCGGGAAGTATACAAGCATGAAGTTCCGCTTGACTGCGAAGGATGTCATTTGCGACCGAGGCACATCTCCTGGGTGCGAGTAGATGTTATCAAGGTAGAGATATTTCCTGTCTGAGTAATATGAGGGGCCATCTGTCATCCCACAATGGCTACCGATTGACCATTTCCTCAGCCCATTGCATGTGAGACGCGGATGAGAGGCATCAGTATCTAGGGCATCGTTGTTTCCATCCTGTGGGGGGCAACCATTGTCTCTAACGAAAGGCCCCGACCTTAGGATGAAGCCAACTGATGAAGAAAGGTTTTTGAATTGATTCCACAGAACCAGGGGATTTCCCTGGAGTTGAGAAGGTGGGACCTTATGCATTTTAAGCGGCAGAGATCCTGGAACTAGCCCGACGAAGTGCCGCATCGCCGCGAGAACCATTTGGCGATATGCCGACCAGAAGCCATAGCATTCCACATTCCGTTCTCGGCGGTGTGCGACCTCAGATATCTGGACATAGAAATCATGAGCTGGTTGTTTATAACATCGCTTCATCCCCTCCTGGACAGTGCCTTTGTATTTTGGAGGTTGAAACCTCCTTAAAAGCTTCACTATCGGGTCCAACTGTTTGGCATCCTTGATAAATGTTCGGAAGGAAGGGATGATGGTTTGAGTCTCCATCAATCGCCGATGAAGCAACTCTCGTTCTTCCGCTTTGTCGAAATGAGGAAACACCGCCCCATCCCCAAAGAGCTCATCAATATACTCACGATCATCCTTTGACAAGTAGGGGCAACGGCCCTCGAGACTGTCCACAGAATCAGCATCCAAAAGGTCAGGCCTATCGCCCATGATCCGATTCCACACATTCCAGATGTGACTTAGGCCGTTTGAGAGCTCCTAATCTGGGGTCAGTATTATGACAACACAAGATCCAGACAAGTTTCCACACACCTCGGGGCACCTCATTGGCAAGAGAAGGTTCAGACTGCCCATATTCCAGGATCGCCAGAGCCCAGGAAATTGATGCAGCTTGCTTAATGCATCACGGATTAGATAAGCCTTCCGGCTCCCTTTCTGAAGCTGGTTGAAATTCCGGTAATAGGTCGGATGCCCTGCCCATCTTGCCAACCATTCCCCAACCTTTGTTTCATCCCCCTGCTGCTGATGGTACATTACATTCCAGCAGATCTCTCCACTAGACAACTCTTGAGAGGCATCTCGATACTCCTGAAGGCTTCTGAAGGCCTCAGGAGACAGGCCATTGATTTCATAGAACTTGACAACCCACCACTGATCATTGGGGTCAAGCCATTCGGCTGCCGCTGCTTTGCGCACCCGTCCCTACAAGCCTTGAAGCATGCAGTCAGCCGGGAGATTTATGGCAACTGGAAGGGACCGACTAAGATTCGTCATCGAATTGTAACTCAGGATTTGCTCAAAACCAGCCTGATCAATGGCGACAGGTATCCAATGCTGAGGCTCCAGCCGGCGACACCGGTCTGTCTCAAACTTGTCCATCAACCATTTCACATTGGACTGGCTGACATGTCGAGCTACGACCCCCGCTTGTTCTCCGCCAAACTTTAGGTGTGCCAAATCAACCTTCGCTGACCCTAGCCAACACCTATCTTTCTCCACAGATAGATCGAGGACATCGGCCTCTGAGGCCATTGCTACAGCGGAATGATTAGTGAAAGATGATAGGAAGAAGGTGAACCCGGTGTTCGGTGTTTAGAGAGGGCTTCCCTCACTGTTGAGGATTATATGCTGCACAATCAAGGGGCCACGCATTTATCATGGCAAGACCGCACAATCAAAGGGCCACGCTTTTATGAAGGCGAGCCTCAACACGGTTATCGTGGCCTGTGGCCCGTGCCCGGTTTGCCAGGCGTGGCTTCAAATGATAAATAAGGCTCTGCAGCCGCCGCATTTATATCGCAAATCAAAACCATCATGCCACAGTGCAATCATATATCATGGTTGGAATTGGTTGAGGGAGAGGCTGGACCTCTCCTTGAGGCTGGATGGAGGATGGCACGTGTTGTAAATTTACAAGCGGACAACATTTCTCTCCAGTCCACCTATCCCAGAATTTTTGCAGACTGCGATCCAACGTGCCGCGCGGCGATACACACACCAAGCAGCTCCCAGTTATGCCACCGCCATGAGAGTGTACCAGTCCAGTGGCCTCACTCCTCATTTGACCCCTTTCATCTCATCCTTGCCCGACTTCTCTTTCTCTTCTGTGATGTCGTCTGTATCTTTGCAGATGATGTTGGAGGTCTGGAAGCTGTTCGATCTCTTCTGATGAAATGGGCAACCATCGGATCCGCATCCACCTTGCCAGGCACCATTCGCCCCCGCATCATCATTGTCACTGGGAAGGATAACGACAGCATCACTCAGGCGCTGTTGAACGGGGTTGATGACGAACCGTTTGTCTGGCAAGCGTGAGTCCTGATCTGTCAATGCTCATCTTACCCTGCTAACATTTTGCAGTGCAAGAGCTACCTCAGCTGCTCCTGTGTAGGTTCCAAGTCTCAAATTTTAATTTCTTCTTCTGACCCCGGACAGGTTGTTTCCATCCATCGATATCCCCTCTGTTGGTAGTTTCCAGGACGGCGGTATGAAACAGCGGCACAATAACCCAATTCGCTTAGGGCTGTCAGAAGTGCGGCGCCTGTGGCCGCGGACGCCAAAACCGCATGTTGTAATCTCCCTGGGTACGGGAACTGTCTCAAGGGTCCTGAAAACGTCGGATTCACGCAACATCCTTCTAGATGGATGGCTTCCTCGCATTTATCGCTCCTACATGTCTTCGTTTGATGGTGAGGAGACCTGGAATGAACTTCAGGGTGAGCTTGATGACCAATCCCGCAAGAACTACTTCCGCTTCAACCACTCCTTCACAGGCGCACGGCCGTCGATCGTTGACATCAGTGCGATGGAGAACATCTCTCAATCTATTCAAAAGAATCCGTCAGAAGCAGACAAGATGGAAGAGGCCCTTTTGACTCTTCTTGCTTCAAGTCTCTTCTTTGAATTGGACTCAATTCCAGAGTTTCAAAATGGCTTCTTTCTGTGCGTTGGGACTATTAGATGCTATGAACCAGCTCGGCTTATTATCAGAGCATTATTGGCGCTCCGACCAGCTCACCACGAATTTTACAAGGATGACATCAACCTGGGTCTCTATATAAGTGAGGATGACATATGTGTGGAATGTCAACGTTACTGCGGGCCTGTTCGATTCGCTGTTCGGCATCTCGAGGAGAAAATTACCATGACACTACGGTCTGATGGCACTGCGTTGTTGCTAAACGGATCTCCCAATGCTATTCAATGGTATATAGATGAACAAGGACTAGATGGGGTCTTTGGTGCTTCTAACCACGGAGCACCCTTCCGAGTCCAATGTGATACATGTGAGAGGAGATTGAATGGGAAGGAGAAGAAACGTAAATACATGTACACAAGATAGATGTTGCTCCAAATTGTCATTTTCCCAATCCTATTGTCTCTTCTCTAAGACTTTACTTAGTTCCTCGATACATTTTGACACTGTAGCTGACTGAGCTTCTATAATGACTTTTTGGTCCTCAATCTGCCGCTGAAGGTGTGCCACGAGGGGTTCATCCACAGAATAATTCAATGCAGTTTGAGATATGGCGCAGGAGCACGTAGGAGTGACATGGGCTGATTCATCAATATTTGTTTATACTGACTAGTAAGTAGTTAATAAGTGTTTGCTGCCTTTATTTTCCTCGTGATTCGCACCTTGTCTTGTGCACTCATAGTGAGCTTTTGAGATTTCTGATAATTGCTGATGTGCTGTGGATTATTGATTCAGAGCTGAAGCAGAGCAATCTTGCAAGCCTTTGTTCAATGAAAACAGAAGTGAAGCTACAAAGATGCCTCACTATTGATTCTTTTGTACTCAAACTTGAAGCGCAGTCATGGGCTTTCATAACAGAGTACACTAACTAGGATTGGTTAAGCTCCATTGTTCTTTATTTAGCACATGGGGAACTCGCGCCGCCATGCTTTCCTTGTTCTAACATACATAATATTATTGGCTAGCAGAACAACTCCAAAGGTTAACCGCCATGATTTCCTCTCAAACACAAACTTTGTAATCGAAAGCTCAATTCGCTCACTCCCCACAAATTATAAATGGTTCAGCTTCGCCAGAAGAAGCATGAGCGCGACCAATAGAAAGGCTGCCCGTGGCTTATTGTTTCCAGATGATGTAAAAGCCTCAGGTGGTGGCTGTGAAGGCGAAGGGGCTGATCTCCTAAATGCTCCTGTCCCTGTGTGCCATGGAGTCGTTGGAAACACGCCGGTTGGAAACACGCCGGTTGGAAACACCCCTGTTGAATTTAGATACCAGCCAGTTGATGGCGCGAAGCCACGCGACATCACTGGTGGTTGTGTTTCTTTAGCCGCGCCTGAAATGCCAAGTGCGCTTTCTCTCCTCACGTTCGCTAGAAATTCGTCCATATGTTCCCCCGGGTTGACTGCAAATACCATTCCTGCATGGCAGTGAGAGGAAGATACGTTCTGGCGGCAGAAAAACCACTGAGGCTCGAGAGTATTGACAGTCACGGACAGCATGAGATCTTCACGGTCAGTTGGGTTGAACTGCTTGAAACCTGAGTCCAGTTGCTGCAACGATGTGCATGGATGGATCAAGCTTGATTGAGTTAAGGTATGATTCAAAGCCTTAAACTCAAAAACAATCTTCTCCCCAACATCGGCATTGATATGCGCTGGTTCAAAGAGATATTCCCCTCCAGTGCCAACGGTCACTCGATGGGTGACTGGCTCGGTTATCTCAACAGAAATTGTTTGAGTGATTCTGTGACCTGTTAGGACTTTTCTTGAATGCATCACAGTTCACCAGAAGAGCATACTCCACCTCCAACACTATCGCGTGAAAATACAAGAGAAAGAAGAACAGAGTGGTTGTCACTATCGCGTGAAAATACAAGAGAAAGAAGAACAGAGTGGTTGTCAGCATTCTTGCAAAATATTTGAAAAAAATCAGATTATATTTCTGTCTGTGGAAATGTGCCCATCTTGATTCCCTAGCTGGCCATTTAAGAAGAAAATAGGCCACGGTTATCACCTCAATAAGTGTGGCCCGAGTATGGCCGACAGAAATGCAAGCATGGCTGTGGCTGTGAAAAAGAAAGGTGTGGCCTCTGAAAGAATATAAAATCTAACTGCATCACAAACTATCATCATCTATCATCTTTATTAAACACACTGCACATCCATCTTACACTTCTTTCCAAATAAAACTTTTTCCAAACAATGGCTGATATCACTTCCACTATCCCATCCAACCCCGGCGCTGGCGCTGATTCCACCCCTCCTGCCCCTCCTCCTCCCGTTCCTTCCGGCCCTGGTGCTGATTCCACCCCCCCCGGGGCTCCTCGTCGGCTTCCTTCCGCTTTCGCCTCCTTCATGGCACATCTTTTTCCGCCTCGTGAGGGATTCGATGATGACCCTCTGTCTGTGTATCATGAAAATGATGATGATGATGATGATGATGATGATGATGTTGATGTTGATGAAGATGAGGCTATGGATGTAATGCGCACTTTAACACTTAGCATCAAGGACCGCCTCCAGCTCGCCAAAGCAATTGTTGACCAGGCTCCTGAAAATGTGCACACTGTGCTCGCCATCACGGCTCCTCAGATGACGGCAGAAATATACGGAAAGGCGATTGCACGCGCCGCAGCGGCGGTAAACCCCGGCAAGTTCCACTCTGAGGAGGATAAACAATTAGGAAAGAATGCTCTTGAGAGTAAGCACCAGAAACTGTGAAACAGAACAAGTCTTTTGCACTAACCCTTTTAGAATTAACTCATGCCGTCACTTGGGCGAGGCAGTCCCTTGCGGGCCGATGGGATCCAGCCGATGTTCCGGTGGTAGAGGAACCCTTGGATAGATACCATCGGCATTGCCACATTGCGGCAACGCGGCATATAATAACGCTATATGAAGCATGCCAGGCCGGCCATCGAAGCAGCATTACTGATGCAATCAGGACAACAAATTATGCTGGTGTTTCACGAGATATTGCTAATGCGCTTAGCGCTCTCCATGATATTAATGAAAAAATTATGAGGCACAACATCATTCAAAAAAACCGTCGGTCCACGGGTAAAATCCGGATCCAGCCGTTTTTCGACCCATGGAGCTCCTCCGAGTCCGCAAAACTTCGAGCACTATGCAAGTCCCTACGCCTTCCTGAAGGATGGGCTGAGTTACCACCGGTAGAAAGATATACGTACTCAGAAGATCTCAGGATGTACTGGGTGCCACTTTGGCATCAGCTTACCCCACTAATAATGAAGTTGTGGGATGGAATTGTTAAAGGAGCATCAACTGAGCAACTTACACCAATACATCAGGAAGTTACTGCAAAGATCACTGAGTTGAACTCCAAAATCTCAGAACTGAATTCGCAAAATGAGCAACCGCCACAGTTACATCACATAAATGGATCAACTATTAGCGAGGCATATTTTCTCCTACATACCAACGTTCAGAATACAGGGCTCTTTCGAGAAACAAGAGCTAAAGTTGACAGCGCATTTGCTGAATTGGGATATCCAGAGACCTGGACTCCGCGTGCAACTACAGAGTGTCTTGTTTGTATGGAAATGATCATGACTGGTATAACAAGTTACAAACAATGCCCGACATGTCAAGTGAAGATTCACACAAGGTGCCAATCGCAATGGGCCCAGTATTATCGGGACATATCAGGAAATAGTGATTTCCCATGCCCACATTGGTAAGTGATGTACCCCTCACTTTGTCCTAGCAGCTGCTAAATAGCCTGTAGTCGAGCAATGGAATTGAATACAACCGTTTCGCCTCCAGCCCAAACAACGACCCAGACGGCAACCCAGATCTCGTCTCTCAGAAATATGGGGAAAAGACGAGTCCAGATCCCCCCCCGAAAGGTTTCACGATGCGTGCGACCTGGATACACAGTACATGGACAGAGAATCTCCCATATAAATGTATACGGCAACTTTGCTCAAGTTGTTGTGGAAAATGAAGATGGCAGCCGTGAGCTCCTCAACGCCACGCAAGCTGGTGGTTTGGCTGTTGTCAGAGCCGCCGAAAGCTTCCCAGAGGTTGGGAAAGTTGAATCAAGCGGGTGGAAAGAGCTGAGGTCCAAGGTTTCGGAAATGGGTGAGTATGGGATTTTATGGGTAGCAGTTTCATCACATTGGGACCCCACAAGTGAAAGATTGCCCTCGGTAGTATGCTGCTTCTACCACCACGTCAATGGAGTATATACGGAGAAAGTTGGTTCCCGCTCAAATATAGCAAAAGTACTCGGCAAAGCAGGAGACCTCATGATTGCAGAAGCTATTAGCGGGAAAGAGGATGTTGAATCTGTTGAAGAAGCAGTTGAGTTCATATACTGTGTGACGCATGAGCAGAGAGAGGAGTATTGGGATAGCCCACCCAGGCCCTCGTCGTCGCAAGCCCACAGTCAAGAGAGATGATGAAGAAGTCCTTTGAAACGGATTTAATCCCTAAGAGACACTCAAGACAATTGAAACAGGGTTCATGCCATGACAAGCAGGGAAGCCGGAAGCTCATATCCTCCTTATAGTTTGTGTTCAGACATTTCTTCTTCTTTTATTGTTTCTGCTTCTTTCTCTTGTTTCTTCTCTTGTCTCTGCAACTTGAGCCTCGCATCGTCGGGAAGCCAATTGTCTAGTTTCACACTAAGAATTTAAACTGAAATATTGATACCGGCATTAAGTATTGCCGCTCCATCTGTTAATTAAGAGAATAGAGACTCTCAGGGAGGCTAATAGTGACCAATGCCCCTAGCTCTCTCCTTAGCTCACTGCCCAAAGCCCAAGCAGTAGGGCTTGAAATTCAGTACACTAGTAAGAGTCTACACTTTTGCAGGGGCCTCTGTACAGAATATGTGGAGCCCAAAATTAGCTAGAGGGGAAATTTCTAGCAACACACGTGACTCAGGGGTAAACTTGTAATGCCTAACACACTCTGATTAAGCACCTGCTATAAATTTTTTTGAATGAAAGTCTGTTTTCCGTGTTCTTCAAAGTGCATTCAAACGGAACACCATGCCAGGGACGCGGCGTCTACTTCGCGAGGAAATTACTTACTCATCTGCTAAAGATAGAGAAGTCAATATTCTTCACCGCTTAAGCTATCCCAGCCAGGAAACTCAATTCTTCACCCTTCTCAATAAGAGGCGCAGCTGGATTAGAGCGATTGTTGCCCATCATTTGAACTTATCGCCTGATGCATGCCATGTTGCCGATGTAGACAGCTGGCTCCACGGAAGCTTTAATGTGTGTATTCCAGTCACTATTGTTAACTGGAAAGGAAAGCTGCAACCTGGAGAACGTGTCCTACTTCGACTTCCTCTGCCATATCGTGTTGGCGAGACTTTTCGGCCAGGAAATGCGGATGAAAAAGTTCGATGTGAGGCAGGTACTTATGCCTGGCTGGAAGACAACTGTCCAGATATACCAATTCCGCGACTGTATGGCTTTGCAATGTCCACAAGCGAAACTGTATGTGTGCAGCCTAAACTCTTTTTCATAAGTGACTAACCTGGGTATCCAGTTTACTCATACCGAAAACTTACCTCCTTTCACCCGCTGTATACACTTTCTACATCGCTGTCTACTGTCCATGCTTGGTCGCCCAGTTCCTTCACAGTATGTCCCGCAACCAGAGGGAGACATTTACTGGGTCAGGAATTAGACATTAGCTATTTGTTGATCGAGTATGTCGAAGAAGCAAAAGGGAAAATGCTATCAAACACTGGATTGAGAAGCAAGATGATATGAAGTTACGAAGCAATCTCTATCATGACCTTAGCCGGATTATACCTGAGACTTGCAAACACTCCTCTCCCGAAAATTGGATCTTTTTGTCATTGA